AGATTTCACATATAAAAAAAAAAAAATCAAGCTGAAAGTCCTGTAAATATAACTCAAGAGACAAATAAAAAGAATGCCAGAAGTATTCAGCAATTTAAATGCCTTTTAGTCTTTTATATTTTACGCTATTTTCTAGGAGAGAGGTGGTTTCTCCAATATCTGTTGTAAACAGAAGTTCTGCTCTAAAAAAAGCATATAAATATTTACAAATAATGAATCCAATGGCATTTCATGATGCAAGTCTCTCACCAGAACACCATGAAATCTTGAAAGACTCAGGAAACACAAAAAAGAAAATCCAAAAAAAGATAGAGTGCTTTCATTTAGTAATGCACTGAAGTTACGTGCATGGATATCATCTCATATCATCAGCCTTTTCCTCCTTTGCTGCTAAGTCATCACTTGCACTAACCTCTTACCACTTGCTCTGCTCCCGATTGTTCAGACAGTATTCTGTTAAGATAGACTTCACATAATATTAAGTGGAATTTAAAAGCAAATAGTAGTCTCAGTCTAACTAGATCCCAATTCTATTTTATAATGTAAAATACAGATTTTAACAAAAGCTTCTTCCTCTCATCTTTCTGATTTTTGGTCCACACATTCCTTGCATGCGTATCTCTTTGCCTTAACTTCTGCCTTCACAAGTGCCCCTGCCTCCTTTTCCCTCCCCATCAATGCCTTGGCCTCACATTCTCACAGCAGCACTCCAGATATTCACTACATCTGAAACATGGGGAGCTGCCTAGGGAAAAGCTGCTATTGAAAGGTTGCTTTCTTTTTTACATGGTTTTTAGACAGATCTTACATGAGCCTTTAGAAAGAGGATAAGGCTGGCAAATACTAATGGTAGCACACAACCCAGATTTTCTTCTGAAAGCATCTTGTGGTAGTTGCAAGTTTATATTACATTTACTTAGAACAGTAATTGCCTTTGGAAATTAGATTTTTCTGCTTGTTTAAAAGATTGATGATGAGAAACAATAAAATTTGGAAGTTAACTCAGTAACTGCTGACCAGATGGGCATAGCAAAATTTAGCAGCAGAGATGGAAATGTACTATCAAATAATCTAGGTCATTTCTTTGATTACAGACTTTGAAATCTCACAGAGCATACGTGATCAGAGTGCCTCTAAATGACTCCAACAGCAACATTTATGAACTCTTCCCCACTTCATTTTTGTATTTTTATCCTTCTTGCCCACAAGCACTTCTAAATAAATCCTCCTTATTGGTATTTTCAGTTCCTATTTAGTCAGCCCCAAGTATTTTGACTCTTCTTTCCCTGATTTCAGCAACACAACAGTGTTTCCATCATCTTTTCTCCAAGATGATTCTATCTACCAAGGTTTCTTTTTGGCCATAGTCCACTGTTAGAGTAACCTAAGCAGGTCTAATGCCAAAAAGTGTCCATGAGCAGTTTTTTTTTTTGATACAGTCAGCACGTGAACTTTCAGGTCCTGAAGTATTGGAACAATGAGCAAAAGAGCCCCTGGGACAGAATGAACCTTGCTTGCAGGCAAGAACAGGAATCAAAGGAAGGAGGGCCAAATTTCAAAGGATAGTGACAAGTGTTTAAAACAAATTACTATCTTCTGTTACTGCTTGCTTGGAGTGCATCTTTCTCCTCTTCTGGTTTCTCACTGCATCTTTTTATTCTGTACTGCAGCACCCATATGATGCTTACAGACTGTGCTGAGGACAGGGATGTCACTCATTTCTGCAGTAGCTCCTTTGGAAAGAGTATTAATGCACTTCAAAGCCTTTTTAAGTTTTGCCTACCAGCCCTCCAGTAGTAACTCCGAACAAGACCTGCACTACTTCCAGATGGTGATCAGACCAAAGAAAATGCAGCTCTGACTTTTTAACTCACAGAGCAGTACTTAACTGGTAACGCACGCTTACTTTCACTGGATATCAATGTGCCACATGAGAAGATAAAAGACAGCAGGCCCCAACAGTGCAATAGTGCTACCCGTAACACCCCATAAGCAGCCCGGGGCTCAGGAATATGTATTGAAGCATACAGAAAGGTGAGAGATAGCCCAAATCCTAAGACCAAGATACATCTTAATTATAAATGTCTACACATGACATAATCACCCATCAGCTAGGTGTCAGGTATCCATTATAATCAGTGGGGGTCTACTCAATACTGCTTGCATAATTTAGAGTACAATTCACCTTAACAAGCAGAGGGTGAGGCAAATCATACCCCAAACACCTACTTGCAGTAATGATTGCACCTGCATTATGTAATTTACGCACAGATGTCTTCCAGAACAGCATGGCAACATGGAACATTTTGGATTCAAAAATAACATGCCACACAATTTCATAAATATCAGCCCCCAAAAGGTTAACTTTGAAGGTAGAGGAAAATAAGACATGTCTCATTGAGACCATCTGCTTTAGCAATCAAAGTAGTTAGAGTCAGTTTGCTTGCAGAAGTCCATAGAGAATATCACAAACAAATTGGATTCAAAACAAATTAGTTTATTTTGTTCTGCATGGCCAAAATTCATCTCACTTAGCTTTAAGTATGTAAGTAAAGAGAACAGTCAGTTCTAGGCTTTTCTCCATAAACAAAACAAATTTTGCTCCAAAGGGACCCTCACTATCATATAAGGTCTGATTTGTCCTTTAGATACACATACCTCTCACCAGTGATTATAAACAAAGGCAGGATACTGTGAACACTCTGGTGGCTTTTGAGTTTCAAATAGACCTAACTGAAACTCAGTAAAGAAAGCATGAACTGAGTTTGTACACAAAGGGCTTCTCTCTCCACCATTCTGTCTACCTTACATCCCCTAAAGAACTGCAAGAAGGAAGCTACGACAAACAATGAAACAATTGTCAGCAGAAATTACTGTGGCCTTGTTATTGAAGACCCTTATTTCTTCCTCGTGGGTATCAAAAATAAATTGCACCTCAGGTTTCTTAATACAAGCAGGAAAACTTTTTTCCCTTTTTTGTATGACTCAACTAACACCAACACTGAACTGCATGATATGCAGACAGACTGTGTTCTGCATTTCAGGGAGTCCAGTGTAGTGTTTTTCTCACTCATTACTGGCAATCAAGTCATCTGAAAGGAAATCAGAGATGAAGAGCTAAACATTCATTTGCAGAGAGGAGAGAGAGAGAAACAAAAGGAGAAAGTCTTGGCCCAGATTTTGCATATGGTTTCTCAACATAAGAAACGTATAATTGATGCATAATACATCACTAACAACCAACAATAAATTAAGCTTAGAAAGCCAACAACCAATAGAAATTAACTTTGTCCGAAACCAATAAAAAACAAACAAACCTCACAGATGTACATTTGCCTAATGTAGAATACCACACTATTGAACAACGTGTGAGGCATGTTATCCTAGAAGATAGCAGTGTATTTTGACATAACTTTATTATGAAGGGCTGATAATAGTATCACCTGAAGAACACCAGCATGCAGAGATGAATCAGATGGAATGAGCACGCTCCCCTCCATTGGTACAACAGAACTCACAAGACTTATTCTACAGTGACAATAATGAAACAGTAGTAGGCAAACGAATGAAAAAATCCTTAAGCAGGAATGCTGTGAGATGGAAAGTGAGACATATTCAAATAAAAATAAATTCTATTTCCAAGAATAGATAAGCATACTCTCTGCAGAAGGACAGCTTTAATGCCCTAATTGTAGATCACGAAAACAGAAAGTTCCTTCCTATCCCAGATCTGCCTCCATCTATTGGTGTTGGACCTCTTAGAAAACAGGTTCCAGAAGACAATCTGACTAACCAGCTACTGCTGCTTCCAAATTAGCAGTCAAAGTGTGTTCATAACACATTCAAAACAAACAAGCCTACACATTACCCAGAAAATTTTCCCATGTTAACAATTCCAGATTCCAAACCAAATATGCAGCAGCCAAACCAAAATCGCGGTTATCAAAAAGTAACACTTCAAACAACTTATGCTCAGTATGAAAAAAACTATTTTCTCATAGTATGAAAGTCATCAAGATTGCAGTCAAGCAGAAATCAGTATAATGTACACCCAACACTTTAGTTATCTACACCTATTTTCCAAGATGTAGAAACGAGTGGAAAAAAATATTTTCTACCCAGGATTGTATTACATAAACTAACACTGTAGCTCCCAAGTTGCCAGAATGGTAACTTATTTGAGCCACGCAAGAGACATTTTATTTTTTGTCAGAACTACACAGCACTTTCTTTCACATGATTCATACAAAATATTTTGCTGGCTAAATAAAAAATATTTACAAGATTTCATCAAATTACACAGCACAAATATCATAGACAATACATAAGCCTACCCTAGAGGCAAACAATATCTTAACAAATAGGTTGTTTTCCTTCAGCTTTAATACTACCTCCAAAGTAACTCAGAATAAGACTTTCCATCACAGTGAAAAAAGTGTTTTTGACATCATTCACTGGTGTTATTTTATTTTTGCCTGAGTCACTAGCATTTCTCTTTTAATTTAAACAATGCAATAGGAAGTAACAACACCTACCTGCAGAGAATCAAACTATAAATTATGTAACAAAAAAAAAAAACACAAAATGAAAAAAAAAAAAAACCCCAAAAAAAAAATCTGTGAGAAGATTGCTGCATGGCAGACATTTCATACGTACTATGGTAAAGCTGGGAAGGTACATAGAATCACTTCAGCTACATTCAGTAAGCTCGGACAATACCCGAATAAAATTGCATCACAAGAAATGATACCTTCCAATTTACAAAATTGTAAATCCTCTACCAAGGATTCAAACTAACCAGTATAAATGTTTCCACTGAACAGAACAATACTACCAAGCCTTCAAATGCTACAGTTTGAAACTATAAAAATCCTGAAAAATTATCACGGATGTGTACCCAAGCAGACAGGAATCTATTTCTGACTTCAGAAAGGGCAGGAATCCCCCCACAAGCCAAAGGCCAGCCAGGAGCAGGCTTCTGTAAGCAGCTCCACTCTTACCTTCCTGTAGACGATCATGTTTGGGGAGCTCTCCTCAGGATCTGCAGCTTCCACACTGCTGGGGTCAGCGGGCGGTTGGGCCATGTTTGCCTCTCGTCACTGGGCCTGTGGAGACAGGAGAAGTCAGTGGGCTGCTGTGGCTGAAATGCTGAGTTACAGTCTGAACCAGAGATTAAGTATCTGGAGGGAAGGCAGCGCCAACCCAGGGGAGCTCAGCTGCATGCAATGCACCTGAGTGACTGGAAGGAGTAGAGCCTTCCCATCCTAGACCTCATTTAAGGGTTAGAGTAGAGGCAACGGTATCTCGCTGGGGATCCCTGCCTACTGGAGGCCTTCCAGAAGCAAGCAGTTTTTCTTCATTTCTGCATCCATGGCTGCTGCACTTGGGCTTGTTCTCATTTGCTGTAAGCTAGGATTGTGCCACCCTGCTACTATGCTATACTTTCCATCATGTTATAGTATTACAGCTGCAGGAAACATGGAGAGGACAGGTGACAACCTCCTTAACAGACAGAGGAAGAAAATACAGGGAGAAAAGTTCTGAACAATAGGCTGGGACAAGGTGGGGCTGTGAGGGCTGAGCCCCTGGAGGAAGATTGGTAGAACAGCAACAATACCATCTGTCAGGCCTCCACATGCCAGGGTAAGGGCAGAGGAGAGATTGCTCTTCTCTCCTCATCATACAGTGAGCAAATAGCAGCAAGAAGCAGGTTAGCCATCAGTTGTAATGCACCCTAGCCTCACTCAACTGTCCTCTAAACACATGAGGAAAGTGATGCCTCATCTCCTTCAGATCATGCCAAGCTCCAGTCAAAAACATTATGTTTTTTGAAAAAGTAAGATCATGGTGCAAGGAAGACTCTGAATTCTACGTCAAAAGCTATTTCTTAAAATTTTCCTCCTACTAGCAGGTTTGACAGGTTACACCTTAGAGGAGATGCATGATGCACCTTAGAGAGAAGCACTGCCTTTGGCAGTCACCAGCACTACAGCTGCTCCACAAGCACAACTGCTTTAACACTAAAAGAACTGCTGCCAACATTTCATTAAAATTTGAGACCAAAATATGCTGAAATGATGTAAACAGATACACAATCTACAGATTCAGTACTATGAGAGCAGTTCACCACCAAAACACATCCATCATGTGAGACTTACCTTCTCATAGTCCCACAGACAACAAAATGCCCCAGCACCTCGTACACATATATAGCATACTACTATACCTATGATACAACCCCAAGCCATTCCACTTGTCAGTTATCAGTTCCCACATGCAAGTCAATTGCCACAAGTGGACAAGTTCAGACCAATTCCCAGCTCTGCCTCATTTCAGCGGTGAAAAGGCTAATGTGGTAGCACTGCATCCTGCACTAGAAAGGGAAGCACTCTCTCCATGAAGATGATATAACAGATATCAAGTACAAATAACCTATGTTAATACCTTTATTTCTTTCATTAAGTATGTACATACACAAATGAAATGGGCAGAAATGCATATATACATGCACATACCAATTTAAATTCAATAATCCAGTTCTAACTTCAATCAAACTATATATAATCACATTTCAAACCTGCTCAGGCCACTTTAGAGGTTATTTTAAAGTTAATTGATATCCTTTAAATATTACATTAAAGTTTTTCTAAATCATACTCAACTCCCATTCTGCTCTTTCTAGAAGCACAAGCATTTCACTGTTGTGCCAGACCATAAGCTAAAAAGGAAATGGAATAAACCTCTAAGCATAATGACTAGATTAAAAAAAAATAATAGTAATAATAAATAGCACACTGAAGGGTAAAGCATTTTAAAATTATAGCACTTTGAATGATTTACACTATTGTGCTTTTTCACAATGCTTCTTAGTTTTGATTTCAAGGCATGAAACTAGCGGGATCCATGTATCATCAGTCAATTTAACGAAGCAGAAGCACAGTGGAGATTTTATGCAACTTCCCAAAGGCAATGACAAGCTGAAGTAGAATTGAGAGCATACATCACATCACCCAAGTTTCAGCTTCCTCTGCAGTATATGAAGATCATCTTCACTCCTTACATTATGTCTGAGATAGTATACACATACTTAAAAAAGAAACAGCGAGAATCAACTTTTCATTGAGTAATACTCTTTAAAGAATAATTTTACGGTTTCTAGTCAAAAAGCCCACTGCAGCGATATTTAGTTGTGCTTCATTCTTTGCACCATTCAGTCTGAATGCCCACAGTTACAAACCACGGTTCTGTAGTTAGATTGTCAGCTGACTTCATCTTTTTGAGCACTTCAGTATTTCCCAATACAGCGCATCTACTCCAATGCCGTGCAACAAAAAAAATAATCTCACAGAACACACAGCAGTGGCTGTCGCACTGTTCACAGTGACATCAAGGGAACACTAACTACCTCTGAATACCTACAAAAAGTATTCAATACAAATGAACCTGTTGTCAGAAGACAGAAATTTGGGAATGATCCTCCCACCACACCAACCATCTCTCGTTGACCTTTACTCAGCTCAGTTCTTATTCTAACCTGAGATTAAGTTGGGTGAAAGCATCTCAAAAATGACCAAGTTCCTTGGTTGCCAAGTCCAACTCAGTAATAACTATGTTATTGCAGAAGATCTCCACTCACTTTATGCAGACAGAGAGGCAGATTTCATGTGAGCTTTACATGCAGGAAAACACCAACTGATTATTTCTGATTTATAATGAATAATCCAAAAAAGCCTGCAGAACATTTAGACATGCACATTTCTTAAGGATTGTTACCTTACTATGAAAATTAATACTACCTAGGAAATTAGTTTACAACCAGTCTTACTTACGTGTACTTGGCAGAAGTAAAACCCATACTGTTTTGGTGGTTGTACTATTTTTCCTGTCTGCATGTTCCTATCTATATGTTTTCAAAAAGCAATACTAAAGATAGGATGACTACGAGAACTGCAAAGAGCTTTGAGCTATTCTCCTCTAGGCTGCCCATCCACATCCAGCCAACACAGGCGATGACTCCACTGAGAATATCTCCAGCCACCTGATAGCCTCACAGCAGCCTGCCAGTGCTTTCATTACAGCCCCAGGAGGGCACACACCATCATCCAAACAACATCAAGTCTGGCAACACTAGACAGTTTGCTCAAGGGATTACCCATGGACTCCAGAAGTCAGAAGGCACAAAATACTCACTCAGTCTTAATGATGATCCCAGTGAGAGCAGATGTTTCTCCCCTGCCCCCTCTTCCTTCCAGGTAGAATTTTGAAATATTTTTTGGCCCACAGCAGTGCAAAACTGTAAAATGCTTTGCTGATAAGGGCTACCACACAGTAACAAAACGTTAAAAAACAAAAAGCTAATTAAAGCATGAAAGAGTTATGTGACTAATTTTTCAAGGGATACTATTGTAATCTACTTTTCACACCACATTTTCCTCACTGCCAGTCTAATATACTCCAGATAGAGAAATAGGTTTAAAAAAACAAAAAAAAAAAAAAGAAGTCTCTTCCTTCTGAGCCTAAGTAAATGTTTGCAGTGCATCAAAAAGAAGAGAATCCAGCTCCTTCACACACAGACATTTCTGTTATGCAGGGCAGAAAAGGGTGAAAACAGACATTTATTAAAAAAAGAAAAAAGAAAACCACACTTGCACAATCCCCACATCCTTGCCAATTATTACCTGAAGAGCACTGTCAGCATCTCACTCCTACAGGCAGTTTACCACACTATCAGCAGCTAATACACATCAGTGCACATCCACACAAAGCAGCAAATTAAAGCCAAATCCATGTCTTCAAAGAAGAGAATAGATACAGATAGATAGATAGGAACCTAACAATCCATGAAGTCCAACTCTTACATTAAAAAGATGCTGTTCTCCCATGGCTATTTTCCTGACAATAGCCATGCTTGAAGTAATCCAGACTCTCCAGCAGCAAAAGCAATAACACTTGAAAACCAACTGTGCTAACAGATCTCTGTAACACACAAGGAGCAAAGTAGTAACCTGTAAATGTGTGGATAAGATGGCCTATAAACCTTAAACTAAAACTTCCTAAATAAATAAATGCTGAGGCACAAATGGTAAAAAGAGGATGTTTGGCTCTTACTGATATTTTTTCTTTTATTTTCTACTATGACTATTTCCTGAGAAGCGTAATCATACTGAACTGGAACTGAACCACAGTGAGTTTCATCTCCCTTCTGTCTGATCTGGCTTCTCCAACTGCCCGCAAAGCATCTTGACTAATGCAAACAAAGTGTCTGTAAGAAAACTTATTGGCACAAGAGCCCACGTGCATCACAGAAATTAACCCATCAAGGAGTCTTTACTGACTCTGGATTTTTGATATTAAGACAGAAAGAGAAGAAATACAAATACACAAGAACAACTATTTCTTGAATTTATCATACGCATTTAACAAACCAATTCAGGGTCACATTTAGACTGACCTGTGTTTTGATAAATTATTTGTGAACTTGATAGGCAAAATTGGAAGTTGCATAATAACATGCTCATATTTAGTCTTGTAAAACAAAATCTACCGCATGAATCCCCATGTAAACATCCTCCAATACTGCTCAGCTGAAATGTAAATTGAGGCAACAGTAAGTAGAAATGACCTTCATGCTGTGCAATTAAAATATTTCAAGGAGAGCTTATAATTGTCACGTAGTATTCATGTCACATCAAAAGAGCTTTGGAGCTTTAGCATAAAACTATAGAATAAAAATAATTTTGTATCATTAGCATCCAGCTAATTTCATTCTAACAAGCAAAACACATCTAAACTATATGGCCTTTCACGTGCCTGAGAAATTATTTAACTATACTCGATGCTGAACTGACAATTACCCAAAAGAAAAAAAAAACCCTATGTAGTTTGATCTATTTGATTTAAATATTGAAACATGTTACTGGTGTGACAGGAGGGAGGAGACAGGAAAAAGTGCATTAACCTGCACTCAGTTAACTCTCATTAATATTAAGTTGATATTTACTTACTGCTAAAATCCCTCTAGAATTGCACCAGAAAGAAAGAAACCTGTAGGTTTCCATTTTTCTCCTGGTTGCCTATCATTTCATTAAGCTAGAGATCAAGCACA